AAAACTGAGATGCTAGTCTAGCTTTAATTAGTTAAGGACTGAATTATTTGTATATTAGTATTATGTGGATTTTATTTTTTTCTTTACTTTTTTTTGTTAATTTATTTTAATCACTGCCAGGTAGGTAGCTTATTACCACAATATATTCTCAGTGATGTCGTATTACTTTTCTTTGTTGTTATATTTAATACTAAAAATAGTTTTAACAATTCAGACTGAATAATTGTAGTCACATTTCTAAAACTTTTAAAACTTCTCGGAATTCACCACATTCTCTCAATGATTTGTAGCTTCCTTTCTGATCTGTAGCATGGTGGAACAGTGTATTCAGTTAGCTGTTTCATCTCTTTGGGCCAACTTAATCCACAACAGACAGGAAATGTGAATGCCCACACTGGTTTCGGCAACAGCCATTTCATGCTTGGGATATTATCCTTGAACAGAAATGAGGAAAGATTTAACATATAATTTGTAATATAAATTCTCAAGTGCCACCCTTGTATTAAGTTTTATTCCATTTATAGGAGATTTACCAGATATAGGCCACAAATACTCAGAAGATGATAAGAGTTAATTTTGGTATGCCTCTGTTGCATTGTTATCTAGCAGTCATCTGGATTCTTGCAGTCCATCTTATAGCTTTCATAAATGTATCTTGGAGGAAGGAGCAGCTGGCAAATAACTAGTTCATAACCACTAGTTCATTACAAGTTGATATTGTACATGTGCAATTATGTCAGTGCAATGCTTCCCCTCATACCTCCCCATACACATCTCACTCACCGCCATGCATGCATATGCATACATGTACACACACACACACACACACACACACACACACACAAACACACAAAGTGAGGCAAGAAGTTACACAACCCTCATTCAGGAAGCTGATCCTCTCTCCAGGCAACAATCTGATCAGTTGCGGAGATTTTGGTTTGATTGTTTATAAATAATATTCATTGTGCTTTTCCTACACTTTTTTATCTTGCTTGTAAGTCATTTAGATAAGATTGCTATCCACAAAGTTGGGGCATGAATAATTACTATACCATTAATAATCCACACTTAATGTTGTACAGCCATAATCTCAATATAGCAAGTTATTTTTCTCAGGAAATAACATCCGCAGCCTAAGTCTCCTTCCCATCACATTCTCTTGCTGTAACACTTGTGGATATACTGCACCTTCAAAGATCTTTCTTCCACATATCCATCTCCAGCATTTTCTCATTCTCTTGGATGAGGCACAGTTTCCTTCTACCTGGCTTGATAGGTAAGGGGCAGAACTAGAATAACAGAAGGGACCTTGGAGGTCTTCTAGTCAAGCCCCCTGCTCAGGCAGGAAATTCTATACAGACAAATGGCTGTCCAGTCTCTTCTTAAATAGTTCCAGTGTTGGAACATCCACCACTTCTGGAGGCAGGTTGTTCCACTGGTTAATTTTTTCTAACTGTCAGGAACTTTCTCCTTAGTTCTAGGTTGCTTCTCTCCTTGATTAGTTTCCATCCGTTGCTTCTTCTCCTGCCTTCAGGCGCTTTGGAGAATAGCTTGACTCCCTCTTCTTTGTGTAGCCCCTGAGATATTGGAACACTGCTATCATGTCTCCCCTCGTCCTTCTCTTCATTAAACTAGACATACCTAATTCCAGCAACCTTTCCTTATATGTATTAGCCTCCAGTCCCCTGATCATCTTTGTTGCTCTTCTCTGTGCATTTTCTAGAGTCTCAACATCTTTTTTACATTGTGGTGACCAAAACTGGATGCAGTATTCCAAGTGTGGCCTTACCAAGGCAATCAGAGGCAGAGCAGCGAATGGAGCTCCACTATTCCTCCAAATGTGGAGTATGCAAAGCCAATCAAGTTCCACACAGAATTCAGAAAATCTCTCAGATATTTCTTCTGCTCTACTCTTGTCATCCTTGGCAATAAATAATATTTAATACAGAATCAAATAACTATTCATTTGTTTTGTTCTCCCTTTGTGACATCAGAATCTGCTGCCCACAGCTGTCACTGCACACCTGAAAAGGACCTGCTGGATGAGTCCGATATTTAATAACTTGCCGTCTTTTTCTTAATATTTTATTGTAAATTCATTGTATCTTAGTAAACCTGACCAACCTTATACCAAGGCAAGCAAACAAATAGGCGGCTGTAGTACGCAAATTAAACTGCCAAAAGAGATAGAGAAGTCTGATATATTCACATTTACAGCTGATTGAATTTTCTATCCCTCTAAGTGCTCTGACTTCCTCCAACTTAATTCAGTGAAAATGGCAAGGTCAGATGTGCAGCAGGATGGGGGAGAGGAAAGGGGCTTTCAGACTCTGAGCCCTCCAATGGCGTCAGGAAAGCTGTATCAGAATCTTGTGGCTTTTGAGACACTTACAAGATGTTTTTTTATTTTTTAAGTGTACTAACTCTCCACTCAAGACACCAAAATGAGATTGAGCACAGTTCGCTTTCTTAAATATGCTCACTGCTGGCCTGGCTACATGGCTACCAGAAAGAGCAGTGAGCTTATGTACAATTAGATCTTCTGCTCAAGTAAGTTAACTGCCCCTAAATTCAATCCCCATAAACATTCACAGGTATGGCATCAGGAATCAGAAGTGATCCATCTCTGGATCAATTTGTGGAAAGCAGAGCATGCTGTAAAATGGGGCTGATATAGGCATTGACAGGCAACCATGAGGTAATGAAGACATGTATGGAGATATCCCATCTCCATTCTTTCATGTTTCCATCTATTATTGGAGGCAAGAGGCAAGCCAGGAGGGTGGTGTCATAATGTCACAATGTACCTCAATTTGCCCCCCTCCCCTTGCCATACCTGTGAATGTTTATGATGATTGAATTTAGGGGCAGTTAACATTTGTACAGAAGATCTAATTGTACATAAGCTCACTGCTCTTTCTGGTAGCCATAGTCTTCTGATGGCAGGCTGCCAAGATTCTTGAAAACCACCAATATCTATCCCTTCCTATTGACTCATGTAGAGATGAAAAACGGTCAGACCTTGAACAGATTTCCAGAGACTAGGTGAAAGAATGGGGAGCTCAAGTAGTATTTTTATCAGTCCTTCCAGTTGAGCATTGTAGCATAGGGAGAGAGAAAATGAGAATGTTCACTTCAAAGTGAAGACGTGACTAAATAGAGTGGTCAAGAACAGCTTAGAGTTCCTTGACCTGCATAAAAAACCCTAGCAAGAGATAAGCTACATCTGACAAAGACTGAGATGAACATGTTCATCAGGTGCCCCACCACTCACTGATCAGAAAAGGGTTAAACTAGAAAAAAACAAAAAGGACATTGGCAAAAGTCCAGAACTAAGTACAATATCAAGGACTAGAAACAAAGCAATAAGCACAAGGGTGGAAGACAGATTGGCATACAACTGCAACAGCAAACCATTAGGGGACACCATGCACAATCTCAAATATTTCTTCAGTAATGCATGGAACATAGAAAACACAGAAAACTTGAAATCCTAACATATTGTACAAAAACAAATATGACAACACATGCATCATTGAAACTTGGTGAGATGACACATGATTGGAATGTTGCTTTGGAAGGCTACACTCCAATGGAACAGACTCAACTAAAAGGGAAGGGTGTACCTAAAAAAAAGACAAAAAAAAACCATAGAATATACCTACACAGAAAGTCCTGAATCAGACCAATTTCCATTGTTTGTATTTGGGTAGTAATAAGAGGAGAGAGAAACAAAAGAGGAGTTGCCAGGATAAGCAGAAGGTATGGATGAGTCCTTCCTGCGCCAGATGACCAAACTTTCAAAGAGCTACACAATAGTAATAAAAGGAAATTTCCATGACCCTGACATCTGCTGGAAATCTAATTCTGACAAGAGTCCAAGATGTAACCATTTTTTTCTCCTCTCTTTCTTACAGTTTCAGTTGTCATAAGATAGAAATGGGAATAAGGCAGTCTACAATCTTGGACCAAATTGTTATTAAGAGGGGGGTGGGAGTTGGTTGGGTGAAGAAAAAGCAAAGTACCTGGAACCTTGGTGGGGGGGGGAACTGACCATAATACTTGAGTTCATAATATCAAGGAAAAGGAGAAATTAAAGAAAGGCTTATCTGACCTGTCAACTTTAGAAGAGCTGTTTTGGAGACCTTTAAAGGAAAGTTAGCCATATCCAATGGCTTGAAATCCTGAAAGAGTAAAAGGTCTACAGAAAATGGGGACTCCTGCAAAGCAACATACTAATGTCTCAGCCGAGACCATTCCTGCCAGAAGGGAAAGTGGGAGGCAGTGAAAGAGAACAGGGTGGCTACACAGAGCTTTCTAAAATACTAAAAAGAGAATGGAACATGTAGAGAAGATATAAGGAGAAATGTATGGCTTAAAGGGGATACAAGACAGCCAGTTATCAGAAACAGTAGGACCTGTGTCAGAAAGGCCAAAGAGAAGAAAAAGCTGAAGTTTGCAGACATGCCCAAAGTCATCAACATCAACATCACAAAGGCTTTTTTGAGTATGTCAGGGGTAATTACTTTAATTTAACTCTTCGAATAAAACTGAAGTTTCAAGGACAATGTAGCTTCACTGTCACAAAATGACAAGGGGTGTTTTGTAGTTATTCCTCCTTAAACATTGATCATGTTTACAGCACCAGAGAAGGGGAAAGTATAGGGAAACCCTGAATCCTGTACCCAAAGATGGGGAAGGGTTAAAGATAAACATACTACTGTATGCCCAATATTTTGCCTCTTGCAAAACAGTCCAGTAGTTTTTAATGCAGATTCACTATCTACTTCTGTCCTACAGGGTAACTAGACCAGATGATTTCTTCAGACTTCTCTTATTTGTGTAAGCATGAGTTGGTTCTCAGGCTGCTTTATCTCATGCCACCTCTCACATGCTCTGCCCTCTCTTATCCCCTATCATTATGCTTCTATAATTGCTCTTGCTCTTTTTTTTAATCTTGTTTCTCCTTGGCCCCACAAGTCCCTGCACTGAAGACCTTGAAGCTTTCAAGGCTTTTAGCTGATGCCAGCAGACATGTGTCTCCAGGCTTGTCATAAAACTGCTGGTCCATGAAGGAGAGCAACGGGTACAATCTTCAAGAAAGGAGAGGGGAATAGGAAACTGAACAAGTAAGGAATATAATGGGGAAAAGTGAACCATGCTAACATAATAGCAAGTTGTGGTGTGGTATTAGACATAAGTTATAAGGGATCTGACTAGATCAGAATCCTATTATTGTAACATCAAAACCACACTTTTGCTTCTTTCTATAAGGTTAAATGAGAAAAAAGAGCATTTCTAAAAGCCATACGGAATGCATAATGATTGTTCCAGTAATACAAGGATCCTTAGACATCCTCAAAAATGTATATTATATGTTCTCAAGGGCATTTAGGCAGTAGCTATTATATAAGGCACTATGGTGGGGGTAGTTTTCTAAGATGGGATTGCTGCTTAATAGGTTCTTGGCAAATAGCACAGAGCAAATTTCATTCTGTTCAGAAGGTAACCACCAGGCATCTTTTTCATAACAAAAGAAAAGATGCTGCTGTGTTTGCAGAAATTCTAAGATCAATATTCTGCCTGCAAATGTGGATTATCCCTTTGTTCCAGCACATGTGGTACTGTATTATTTTCTTTTTTTAAAAAATAACCAGAACTTTCCTTTCCCCTTACCTTTGGATTACAGTTTCTATTCTCCCATCACCCCTTGATGCTTGCTGGCTCTTAATAGATTTTACCATTTTATCCAAGAATCAAAATTAGACAATTTCCTAAGGCCAATTTAGAAAACCTCCCCAGATTGATTTTTGCTGCTCCAGTTAATAGTGCATACTTTCCCTTAGCAGGATCCTCTAGATAAATTGATAATACTGCCGTTTGAAATATATTGTACCCAGCAGCACACAGAAGCTACAGCCACTCTAAAGGTTCATCATAAAAGCAGCTGGGGGGTATGGATTTTGGAGAGACAAAGAATCAGGAAGATAAAGTTGGAGAATCTGCATTATATCTTTTATGATATAATCATACTAATGGGATATAAATTTTAGCTATAAAAAGAAAATTGTCAGACTTAGAGGAATCAAATCCGGGCATTATGGAAAAGTTTATCAAAGAAATGCAGAATTTTTATCAAACATGTTTTCAATATATCGAAGAATGGTCTGAAACAAACATCACAGGAAATAACAGTTTTCAATGGTGTTTTTTGACTTCATAGATATTGAATCTTGTGTTGATTTTTTATCTAAAGAAATGCCAGACATTAAAATAGATGATAATTGTCTCTTTGAAGAAATTAGAAGACTGAATGTATTTTTAAATTCTGAAAAATTAATACAATGGGAAAATAAACACGTTTAAATTGATAAAAGGTGGGTGGAAATATTCAGCCATTTCAAAAATGAACATATTCCATGTGAAAATTTATTTATTCTTGTTCAATTTGCGTTGTGCTGCCCTGGAACTAATGCAGCAGTAGAAAGGGTTTTTTCAATTGCTAAAGATTTTTGGAAAAGTGAGAAATCGAGATTGAATGTTGATACTCTAGCTGCAGCACTTGCCGTAAAATTCAATATGAAGGATATTTCTTGTTCAGATATTTCCAATATATTGTTAGAAGATGATACATTGACAAAAAATATTCATTCAATGGAAAAGTACTCATTTAAATAATAATTAATAGGCATGTAAGCATAGTTACAATATAAAATTTTATTGTTACAAATGTTTTTTATCATGCATTTATCATATTATAGTATATACTGTATTATTGTTGCAATGAATACAATGTTTCTTTTATTTACGATATTTTTTTCTTCAATTTATTTGTGTCCTCCTTTTCCTTGTAAAAAAGTTGGTCACCTTAATATAATGTATATGTAAATCCAACCTTAGGCATCCTTGTAAAAGTATATATTCCAACTATCATAATGGTTCTTAAAAACTAGGTTTTCTTATAATTATTCTTAAAGTGCCTTTTTGAGTATAGTATTGAGCATTTGTGTAAGGAAGGAAAAAAGTAAAATAAAATATTTTTCTTTTACTTTTTCTTTCTTGCATGCACATTTATGTCTCTCTTTGAGAAATAGTGGCTACATGTTGGGCAAAGGCTGAGTAGATCCAGCTTCTAGCCCTTCCTCATCCATGGGTTCAGCTTTGAACCAGTCTGCATTAGCCCAGCATGCCTCACAGATTGTGGTGCAGGAGTTGTTGGGCAGGGAGGGAAGAGAAGTAGGAGAAAGCTGATCTATGCTCGCTGCTGAACTCTTGGAGGAAAAGTAGATTGCAAGTTTTACAAGCAGCTTGAACCAATAAACGGTGGAAAAACAAAAGAACAGAGGTTTTATATACATCACAAGTGGGAATATTGAACCTAACAACCGAGCTATGCTAAATGTCTATGGAGATTCTCAATCATCAAGGTCATGGTGTCTCAAAAGTGCTTTTTCGGAAAGGGCAACTGGACTTCCTGGGGGGGTTTGTTTTGAAAACGTTTCACTTCTCATCCAGGAAGCTTTTTTTAGTTCTTAACTAAAGCACCTTTGGGACACTAACCGAGGTAAAAATTGTGGATGGATTGACAGAATGGAGCTAGGATGTGCAGAAGTAAACCTTCTAATAATACACGTATTATCGAAAGAAAATGTTCTGGCAAAGCAACATGTAGTAAACACTGTTAAGGATCATGAAAGAAATTATACAAAGGGACATAATCTGGAACAGCCGACAACCAGTGATTCCCAGAATATCATGAAATCTGTTACCAACCAAGATGGATAAGACAATGAGGATGAATAGTGCAGAAATTTATTACTACAGAAGTGTACAGGAGAAAACAACTAGAACTAGAATTGAACTTGAGACCTTTCAAGAAAGCCCAGGACACAACGTAGTAGTAGTAGTAGTAGTAGTAGTAGTAGTAGTAGTAGTAGTAATGGTGGTGGTGGTGGTGGTGGTGGTGATGATGATGATGATGATGATGATAATAATAATAATAATAATAATAATGTTGGAAGGGAACTTGGAGGTCATCTAGTCCAACCCCCTGCTCAGGCAGGAAACCCTATACCATATTCAGACAAATGGCTGTCCAGTCTCTTCTTAAAAACTTCCAGTGTTGGAGCATTCACAGCTTCTGGAGGCAGGTTGTTCTACTGATTAATTGTTCTAACTGTCAGGAAATTTCTCCTTAGTTCTAGGTTGCTTCTCTCTTTGGTTAGTTTCCATCCATTGCTTCTTGTCCTGCCTTCAGGTGCTTTGGAGAATAGCTTGACTCCCTCTTCTTTGTGGCAGCCCCTGAGATTTTGAAACACTGCTATCATGTCCCCCCCTTATTCTTCTCTTCATTAAACTAGACATACCCAATTTCAGCAACTGTTCCTTATATGTTTTAGCCTCCAGTCCCCTAATAATCTTTGTTGCTCTTCTCTGCACTCTTTCTAGAGTCTCAACATCTTTTTTTACATTGTGGTGATCAAAACTGAATGCAGTATTGCAAGTGTGGCCTTACCAAGGCATTGTAAAATGGTACTAATACTTCACATGATCTTGATTCTATCCCTCTGTTAATATAGCCTAGCACTGTGTTGGCTTTTTTGGCAGCTGCAGCACACTGCTGGCTCATATTTAAATGATTGTCCACTAGGACTCTGAGAACCTTATCACAGTTACTACTATTGAGCAAGGTACCACCTACACTGTACCTGTGTATTTGGTTTTTCTTGCCTAAATAAGAAATTCACCATTGAATTTCATTTTGTTAGATAGTGCCCAGATCCTCCTGTATCTTAAGCCTGTCTTCTGAAGTGTTGGCTATTCCTGCCAGCTTGGTGTAGTCTGCAAATTTGATGAGTTTCCCATCTATCCCCTCATCCAAATCATTGATGAAAATGTTGAAGAACACTGGGCCCAGAACAGAGCCCTGGGGCAGCCCACTACACACTTCCCTCCATGTAGATGCAGTTCCATTGAGGACTACATGCTGGGTACGGCCGGTCAGCCAGCTACGAATCCAACTGGTGGTGATGCTGTCTAATCCACATTTTTCTATCTTATCAAGTAGTAGGTTTGATCTACTTTATCAAATGCCTTACTGAAGTTTACAACAAATATTCCTGGGTTTACAAATTATTATGTTTACAAAAATGTTTGGGGAGTTTCAAATTCAATGGAACAAATGAAATAATCAGAGGAAGATTCAGTTATTTTAAAGGAAGAAAGGACTAGAGGCCTATAGATACATTATGTCATATTCTTTTTGAAGAGGGAGTAGACCAAATAGTAAATGCATAGATGGGGCCTTTCTTCTCTACAAGATATTATTTTTCTCCAAGAAACTTGGTTGATGGGAAATAGTGTGATAGTATTCCTTGGCTACAGGTATTTTTATAAATGGGTCAGGCAATACCAAAAGATGGGACATGTTAAAGAGGGCTTAAAGTGTCTACTCACAGTACATCTTGATCTTTAAAAAGAAGAAATTAATCCTGGAAATTATGGAACACGTGAAATTCAAATGCTGAGGCTGAAATCTCAAGGGAGAATGTCACCTGACAACAAGTAAATTGGGATAACTTGAAAGAGACATTAGTTGATACATTTAATCATCCTACAAGTGCAGGTTTAATTATTTGTGGGGATTATAATGCTAGAATTGGCTCAGGTTTGGAAATAGGGAACTAAAAGGGTAACGGTTTTTTTTAAAATAGAGGCTAGTTTTCCTCTAGTTCCTATTTCACATGACAAGATCCAGAACAAGTGTGGACTAGAACTACTTAATGTATAATTTACAAACGGCCAGTGTACATGGGTCACAATGGGATCGAGTCTGGGGGTTCTAATACATCTGTCAGCCACTGAGGGTGGCTACTGTTTTTCATTATATATTCATATCACCCTCAATAATCCCAGTAGCAGAGTATTTTGATATTATACATTGATCAAAGAGATCACTTACCATTTAACTAGGACTTAATGTGGATATGTGGAAATAATATAGCGCAAGAGAGTCACAATATAAAAGCTACTACAAAGAATCAGAAACAATTAAAATGGGCATCCCCTTGGCCAAAGTTGCAAGATCAGTGCTATAGTATAGCCCAACAATGCTATTTAAAACTCTGAAAAAGCAAATACCAAATATGAGGAACCGGTTGAGAGTGTGGTGTGTGTAAATCATGGCAAGGAAAAAGGACTGTAACCAGAGTCCCATGGCTTAACCACAGATCTGAAAGAAAGGAACTGATTAGGTAAGTGAAACAAATTATAAAGGATAACTCATTTGACAGAATAAAAGCGGTGAGGGATAAATGCTGAAAATATCAAACATTGATAAGGAGAAGAAAACAGGAGTATTATAAAGCCAGGGCAAGACCGAAGACTGTCATGTTTACAAAATACCTAGGCAAAATTCTGGGAATTAGTTTCCCAAGGCCAGAGAGTAATAATAAAATAATAAGAGAAGCACAAATTTAATCTAATTTTTGGATAGTTTATTTTGAAAATAAATTTGAGGATATTAGAATATCAAGTCAGCAGTTAATGGGTACAGATATATTAAAAACATAATTAAAATAACCCCCAATCACTGCTGCAGAAGTTAAAAGAATAATTTCACAGCAGGCAGCTGGCAAAGCCAGGGAGAAGATATGTTACCACCAGAAATTTTTTAAGGCATTCCATGATTGATGGGCTCCTACATTCATGTCCTTGTTTACTTATATCAGTATCATGGGGCAAATCCTTGTAGGCTGATAAAATAGTGTAGCAATTCCAATATTTAAAAAAGGAGATTCCACAACCCTGCTAACTTTCACTCCATAAGAGTGTAAGTTATATTCAAGGTATCTTTTAAACAGATTTATTGGTTGAGGTGATGATAGCCAGATAATAGGAGAAGGACAGGCAAGCTTCAGAAAGGGACATCATACTATACATCAGTATTTCGTTTTAGAACATCTGATTCACAACTCACTAATGGTCCCTCAAAATGACCTCATGCAGCATTTATTGATATATTTTCTGCCTATGATAAATAAATAGAGGGAAATTATGGGAGAAGTTTTAGTTACTGATATAGATAACCTAATATAAAATTACCTAATGTACAAATAGATTGCCTAATATACAAATTATATGAAGACACTTATATACACGTACAAATAAATCACAATGGCTCCTTAACAAAGCAGCTTAAAACCACAAAGTGTGCCTACAGTGGCTGCACATTGGCTCCCTTCCTCTTAACTTTTATATAAACAACACTATAGAAGAGCTTAATTATCCTTATTTTTATGCTCCATCAATCAGACATAGAAAGTCCCAATATTGCTATACAGAGATGACATGGTACTGATGCCAACAATAATTGGAATAAGAAGGATTCTGACAGAATTTACAATACTTACAAATTATTCCAAAACCAAGATATTAGTATTTGCTAAGAGACCAAAAGATATCGTTGGATCTTAGATGATAAGGCTATAGAACAAGTGAGGTCATTCAAGTATTTGGATATCCATTTTACTGAAATACTATCAGGGAAACATAGATAGATAGTATCAGGCACTGATGATATTACCTAGTTTGGTAATGAAACATCTGCAATAAAACCACCAAGCTCAGAGAGCACTAAGGACTCCACACATAGCATCAGCAAGAAGAATGGCTATGAGATTAATTAGAGCCATTTGCTCCTTCTTCTACTCAAAAGAAGACTGGCTAGTACAGACTCACGATCTTCTAGGGGAAAACAATCTCACAGCTGACATATGATGCCCCAATATGAGATTTAAATAAACTAAAAGAATTAGAGATTGTCCAAAATAAATCCATGAGATCAATTTTAACCTTACTCTTATCTTTACCAGCAGCAATATTGAGATTAAAAGTGGTCCTTCCATTAATTAACTTAAATAAAGAAAGAAATAATCTTATATTATAAAAGACTAGATTTTCATGCCTGGCACTTCTTTGGCAAAACGATGCCTCCATGAACAACTTAACAGTAATGGATGGGTGAATATCTGTTAAACCATTCTCACAATTTTCACTAGATCAAGAACTATTGAACAATACAGATTATCATTCACTACTGATGGTTCCGAGGAATGCGATGGTTCAGCGGTTATAGCTGTTGAGCTTGTCAACTGGAAAGCTGACAGTCCGGGTTCAAGACCCAAATGGTACACAACAGGGTAAGCTCCCATTACTTGCCCCAGCTTCTGCCTGCCTAGCAATTCAAAAGCATGCAAATGCAAATAATTTAATAGGTACCATTTGGTGGGAAGGTAAAAGCATTCCATACACCTTTGGAGTATAGCCATCCTGGCCACATAACCATAGAAAATGTCTTCAGACAACATTGGTTTCCTTGGCCAAGAAATGGAGATGAACACTGTGCCCTAGAGTCAGACACAACTGGACAGGGAAACCTTTTTACCTTTACTATTGATGGACCATTTATTCTTTAAAGATTTTGAACAAGATGAAGATAAAAAGTAGGTGTGCAAGCTTAAGTTGGCCAAGTGGTATCGACCTTCTAGAGATGGGCAAGCAATGTCATCTATTTACAATTACATACATCCCATTCCCCTACTAGACACACTTTCATAGAACTTCACTGTCAGACAATGCCAACAGCCTATTTGAATGGAAGATATAAAGGATTAACAAATGCACAGTGCTTATGCATTTGTAATAATTCACACAAGGAAGATCTGATCTGTTACTTACTACACCGTGAATTATATCAGAAACCTGGATCTAGATTCATCTTGCTTTTGTTAATCCAATTGAATCAGCCTAGCATAGAAGAAAAAATCTTTTTTTTCCTAGCAACTAATGTAGATGAACATGTAGCAAAGCAAGTTGCATTGTTTGCAATGGCCGCAAGGAAGATAAGAGAGGCCGATGTTGTCAGATAATTCTGTTAATGTTAGAAGGGAGGTATTGAATATGTGGGTTCTTGAAATTTTATATGAATTTTGATAACCTATGGTTGCAAATAAATGTATTATTAAAAGAAATGTTTATTCATTAGTTGCAAATGGAGAAAATTAACACAACGAACTCTAAGCATTCTAAGCAAGGTTTTTGGATTGCCATTCATCCTGAGCTGAGAGAGAGTGGCTGGCCCAAGGTCAGCCAGCTGGCTTTGTGCCCAAGGCAGGACTAGAACTCATGGTCTCCCAGTTTGTAGCTGTAAATGTGTTTGTAACTCGAACACCATAATAAGGATATTCTAAATATCCATACTTATGCCTCATCATGCCTCAGGACCCTTCTGTAGAAGAGGATTTAAGAACCAAAATTGGGGATAATATCCTAATTATTTTTCCTGCTGTTTCCATTTTTTTGCTATTGCACTGCACAAGATCATCTGTCTCCTGAATACATTTACACTATGTATTCAGAATTTTTATTTTCCTCCATGGAACATAGGCTGTTTTGCTGCAAAATAAGATTTAAAAACAAAAAAAGTTCACATAGCCCTAGGCATGTCAAACATTGCTCATGCAACCTGAATCCTTCTTTGGCAAAGGAGATTAGCTGAAAACAAGTTTTGTCCCTGTAAGATGTCCATTTTCATGTTTCCTATGGGTTCAGAGACTCATGAGAGATCATGAATTTTGCAATCTTCCTGTAAGGCAAGAATTTTTAATTTGGGGTCAATGGCTAGATGTCAGGGGGTCCATGACCTTGGATGAGGAAAAAAAATATAGCCTTAATTTCACTCACCTCTAAGATTTAGCTGGTCTTGTTATTGATGAATGAAGAAGCATGAATATTACTGTGGTACATATCTATTATTTAAATTAAATTGTTTGATTATTTAAATTATTAAATTAAAACTAAATATTTCAATAGCTGTATGTCAGCATCACTGCTTTCCTTTGTAAAATGATATTTTATGTATTTAAAGACATATCTCGGAGGAGAGATCTGTAGATTTCACTGGACCCTCAGAAGGGTCCATGGCACAGAAAGAATTATAGCCCTGGCTTCAGTCTAAAGGTAAAGCCAGGATAAACTGAAGCCCTGATTATAATTTTCAAGTCACAAGTTTCATAGATCCAGCAAGGACACTCTGTCCATGACATTTAGCAAATTTCCTTCGGAGTGGCACCTGGTGAGGCTTAAAATTGTGCATCTGAAAGGAGGCATTTACTGACTGCTGTGCTTCTCTAAGATTCAGCTGGCTAGCATCCTATCTGCCTTCTGAAGTCCATTTCACACAGGAAGTCCCTTTGCAACCTAGTGGGATCTTGAAAGAAAAACCAATTAACAGCCACCCAAGAAAGGAACACTAAGCTTTCCTTTGGAAGGCTTGCACCAGCTGTCTACCCCTCAGATGACAGCAAGATAGCAACTATAAAACATACATGAAACCACCAGAAAGAAGTGCCAAACTCCCCTACAGAGAAAGAAGAAAACAGACCCCTGTAAGCAGGCTGGGAGTGGTGAAAAATAACTACAGTAATCCAAAGCACCAGAGTGAGGAAGTGGTTAACCCCATTGGTGGGAAGGGGGATGGGGCAGTTAAGAAGAAGGCTAATGCAGCTATTGAGGCAAAACATCTGCCTCCAGGCAAAGACAAGAGTTGTGTGCCAGGCAAGACTATTTCTTCTCAAGCCCTTCTGTGGTGGGAAGATGCAAGCAATTGCCTCCTGAGAGCTAGCAAGGAGAAACTGCTTCCCTGGCATCTCCTCTTTATTCCTGCTTCCTCCCCACCCACCCGTTTTTGTGCTTCTGTGCGTGCATGCATGCACTGGCATGTCCCTGTCTGATCTTTTTCTGCCCACGTCTGTCTCCCGGCTTTCCAGCCGCCCCCTTGTCTGCCTGATTCTGCTTCCCCCACCTCAGAATGCGTGTCCTCCCTCTCTTGTCTCTAGGATCTTGTGGGCACATTTTTTATGCTTCCATTGCCTCCTGCCCGCCCCCATCCCTCACACTCCCTGGCCACTGCCTCCCTGCCTCAGCTCAGTGGGGTCTGCAGCCCCTCCGCTCTCCTGTTGCTCAGAGATGAGGAGGCAGTTGCTAAGAGACAGAAAAACGTCAGTACCTGGCCCTCAAGGAAGAAAGAGAGAGCGAAAGAAAGAAGGGGAAAGGAGGTGGGGAAAGACCTGGTTGGAATCACACACACACACACACACACACACACACACACACACACACACACACAAAAGCAGAAGCTGCAATTCAAGGAGAGACTGAAATTTCCTCGGTGTCCTTATTTTCAAGAGGGACACAGGAAAGAAGGCAAGGAAGACTCCATGGAATGAGAAAGCTGATCTGACATGAAGCAGAGGCATCTCTAGTGGATTAAGGCAACATTGTTTTAAAAAAAAATCTTCAGCTCAGAGTAAGTAATTATATTTGCTAGTGAGATGAAACTGAAGTGATGGGGAGAAGGAAAGCATGCTTGTTACCATACGACATTTGGTTAAGGAAAGTAAGATCTCTGGGTTCAGAAATGTGAACAGGGTGTGTCTTAGAAGATGAGGAGATGTGCATCTCCTGAGGGTCCAGGGAGGAGAGTAAGGACAAGGATATGAAAATAAAGGCTAGTTGCAAGAAAGCATGTGGGAATGCCAACTCAGTAGAGTTTTTGAGTAAATTCTGTGACTTGCTTGATCTTCAAAAGATAAGAAAAAGTGGGAAAAGGAGGACAGGGGGCTATGCAAAAAAAAAAAGATGTCCATGGAAGAAGATAGCATCAGAAAAAAAAAGGAAAAGTGAAAATACAAGAAATTCCTGCCCCAAGGGGACACAAAGGATAGAAAGAAATACAGGGATGCCAAAGCACAGCACCAGCCCCTTAATGGAATAAAAACCAGATTTTTTCTTTCCATGAGAGTTAACTCTCAAAACTGTTTCATAGCTGCAGAAGAAGAAGCCTCAGTAGACCTTGTAGATGGGTGGTGCCCTTCAGCTGGGCCCGGAAGAGTAGGAAGTAACTGGATGTTATTTTGGCAGAGATGCAGGCACAAGGTTGAATGCAATCCCAGGACCTGTTACAAAATTTTTGAGCTTCCTTATTTGTTATTTTAAAATAGGGGTAGTCACACTTGGGGGATCAAGTTCAAAAGATTCGGGTTCTTGTAAAACAGTAGATATGAAAGGGAATAAAATAAATTTGTGTATTTAAAGAGTTTCAATAATTAATTGCCATTCAGTCTGTCATTCACTTGCCATCTCTCAATCAGGTTGATCAAATGCCGATTTGTGCTGTGTTTGTGGTGTGTTCTAACATCCCAGGTTAGAAGTCTTCCAGCCATCCTAGTGATTCCGCTTTCCTTTTATCTTCCTGTACATTCTCACAAACTTTGCCTTTGAATAAATCCTCTATGTTCAAGGGGGATTAACTACCAGACAGTTTGTCTTAGAACTGTGTACTCCCTTTTCTAGTGAAATTTGGTGTTATTTCCAAACACCTACTCACCTAGACTCCTTCCGATTTCTCACCTTTTTAGAATGATGTATCATTTATTGATACATGTTGATTTCTGCCTTCGTACTGTCATAAAGGGTTTAAGGCAGTTTAAGGCAGTTTTCTTCAACCTAATGCCTTCCAGATGTATGGGGCAAGTAATGGGTGTGGAATCTAACTCAGCTGGCTTCATGCTGAACTATCATGCTTTTCCTCCCTCTCAGCCAAAGCAGAATATATTTGCTTCCTTGAAGATAAATTCACTCTTTGGCCAAGCAAGCAGTGCCTCAGCCTTCTTTCTTCTTCCTACACATCTCAGTCCACTGCTACAGTAAATGCAATAACAATTGTACATTGAGAAAATCGAGTGGAATTCCCAGAATGATGTTATAACAGAGGACAAAGAATAGGGGCTTCAGCAGTAATTTGAGAAGAAAGTGGGGTGTGCATTACTATAAAAACAGATGGCAAAAGGAGAATTAGGTTAAATGTACAAGGGGTATATGATCCCACTCCCCACTTTGACCTTCATTATATTTCATTGACAGGTTTTTCCAGGAAGAACTTTAGTCTGGGAAAGAAGATAAAGCTTCAAGGACAGCATTATACTCCTTCTCCTGACCCTTATATTTGGACCCTGAAAACATGATTGTTCTTGGCATACAGTTTCCGGCTTAGTTTTTCAAGTTAGGCACAACATGGATTCATGTACCTATTTCAATGGCTCTAGTTCTGGAGGGCGGAATTTGCTCGTAAAGTGAAAGATAATGGCTAGCCAACTTCCCAGACAAGTAAAATTTTGGACTTTTAAGTGGCTCCACATCTCCAGTCTTAGTTTCTCCTGACCTTTCCAAGAGGGACTCACTTGATCCAATTTAGCAGCAGCTTATCAAGAGGATCATTAGCTTTCTGGGAAATAGAAAACAGAACAGTCGAAGAAAGATATTTCATTTATTTTAATAATACCTGAATGATTCCAGGATAAATTCTTTCCAGTCTGGTAGAACTGCAGGTAGAATTACTGAGACTGCAAAAAGCAATGACCTGATTATATTTTTCTAGCGCAATGAGAAACTTCTGCAAGGCGTCAGCAAATTATGTCTCCAGCACATCAACACAAAATAAAATACACTAAAAAAAAGGAGCACATTTTATCTTAATGCAAGATCAAAAAATCTAGTGATCAACAGATCCTGGGTAAAAGTTATCAGTTTTGTTTACATTTTATATTATAATCTTTTAACTTCTCCATAGAAATTACACATGCATGTGTGCAGGTAGTCTGCTCTCTTCTACTTCCTATAGAAAAAGGTTATTCAGGAAGCTAAACAAGCTACTAAAACCTGTCAGCTTCTTGCTTAATTAGAACTCTTTTATGGTCCTATAAGTGCCTCAAGATCTAACTTGGATTCGATGGCCTATGTTTCTCCAGCGATAATGTAGCAGTTTTTTGTCAGTGATTCTCATTGGCTGGGTTGTGTCTCCACCCATTGCTGCTCTTTCCTGATTGGCCTCTCTTTGCCATGTAGCTTCTACCTTGCCAAAATGACTGCAGACTGTGTCCAGCTGGGAGGAGAGCAGTTTGTACCCCACTGCTCTCCTGCCATGATATTAAGCCCTTTTCTTGTAGCAGTGGTAGTAGTCTTTGCCAGTGCTGTCACTGGTTGCCCAGTTCTGTGCACATGCCGCAGCCAGGCTGTGGATTGCAGTGGACTACGACTGTTTTCAGTCCCACCAGATCTTCCATTGGACACCAGAAACCTAAGCTTGGCTCACAACCACCTCACTAGCATCCCTCCTGGATACCTTACCTGCTATTTGGAATTGAGAGTATTGGATTTGCGGAACAACTCCCTTGTTGAACTACCAGTTGGACTCTTTTTGACATCTAAGCACCTTTCCCACTTAGACTTGAGCTACAATAACTTGACTCAGGTGGTGGCTGATATGTTTCAGGAAGCCTACAGTCTGGTACATGTTGACTTAAGCCACAACCCTTGGCTGAAGAAGGTAGACCCCCAAGCTTTCCGAGGCTTGGTCCAACTACGTGATCTTGATCTCAGCTATGGGGCTCTGTCTTCCCTTAGCCTTGAAGCCTTAGAAGGTCTCACGGGCCTGGTGACTCTTCAAATTGGAGGCAATCCCTGGATATGCGGTTGTACCATGGAGCCACTGCTGAAGTGGTTGACAAATAGGATCCAGAGATGTATGTCAGGTAGGTGAAATTAAGTGATTGTCCAATTCTCAGATTTATTTCTTATTTCATCCCTTATCTTGCTGTGCAGTCTTTATTCATTTGTTACTCAAATTTGTATAGTCACCCATCTCATCGAAGGCAACTCTGGGCAGCCCACAACAAACCACATATAAAAGCACATATATAAACCCCATAGATATAAAAATCACCTAAACAGTAAATATGATTAAAGACAGACATACAAACCCTAGGGAATTTAAATAGGCAGCTCAGCAATGGAGCCATCTAAGCATGTCTTAGAGACAGAGATAATCTAATTTGGGAGGAGGGGGAGGGAGGGAATGTTCCATAAAGCAGACACCAAGCAAGAGAAGACGTGTCTCCTGGGACCCATCAAATGTAGATCCTAGCTGATTGTACCCACAGCATGCCATCTCTGAAAGATCTTTTGGGCAGAGTATTAAACTTTCATCTCAAGTATAAGAGAAAATTCATTTTGTGTCAAAGATAATGTGAGGTTAAGGATAAAGCTTATTAACAGGTAATGGGATTTTGATTCAGGTGAAATGTCAAGAGTTTCAGAAATGTGTATGTGTGTATGTGTGTGTGTATTTTTGGAACTTCAAACTGCCTTTAAATAATCAACATTACATGTGCGTATATGTCTGTACTGAAAAAAATAAATATTTCAGGTATTCATCAAAGAAATATTTAATATATTTAATGTACATGTTATATTATAACCTGATTATCATAACATAAGTACTGAATAAAACTCAGGCTAATAATAAAATAAATGTCAAATGACACACACATACACATATTATAAGCATATTGACATTTATTTTTATTATTAGCCTGAATTATTTTATTTGTCTATTTGTTTCATTACATTTATATAACTGGTCCTCTCACATAAAGCAACTCTGGGTCTCTAACACAATTAAAACATCAGTGTAATAACAAAATGCAAGAGACAAAATACATAAGAAAACAAAAGCAGGATAAACTAAGTTTGTCAGTTAATTTGTCAGTAACAAATTCAGATTCAATCACTTCCTATCTCTGAGGGAAAAAAAACAAGTACTTAGAAGCCTCATAAAAGGCCAACTGCTTTGGGGTTAATCTAATCATAAGAAATGGGTTTTTTCGCTACAGAAAAGCCATGTTTCCTGAGTCTGCCTAGTGACACTCTTTAATTGACAGGACCTGGTGCATGTACCTTCTGCCAGATCTGATGAGGCAGGTAATGAGACAGACAGACAGACAGACAGACAGACAGACAACAAATATTTCAGATTATGTAAGTGACAACATGCCCCTTAGGTTACACTCAGAAGCTTATTGGAAACATGGGTGTACCAAGCCATATCCTTAATTGTTCATAATGCTACATTCTGGACCACTTGTAGCTTCCAAATATTTTTCAAGCCCCACATGTAGCCAATTGCAGTAATCCCCTTGGAAGTTAACCAAAGCATGAGAGACCATGTGCACTACCATCTGATTGAGGAAAGAGTACACAAACACCAAGTTGAACAACAGCCCTCCTGCCCATGGTTGCGCTTTGAATAGGGGCCATGAATCCAGGAGGACCCCCAAATTGTTTACCAGTTCTTTCTGCAGTGATACCATCCAGAACTAGGGATGAAAGTCAATGAGCCCTGAAACCCTCGATCATGTTTGTGATAAACTGAAGTCTGTTCTTTGCTGTGCAAAACCTCACAGCCTTCAGACACAAAGACAGATCATGCTTAGCATCATTCAGCTGGCCCACAGCAGAAATATACAACTGGGTGTCTTTTATTAATTTACTTATATGATTTATATGGCTGCCCATCTTACACCCAAGAATAAGCAATAACTCACTCATCAAAAAAAAACCACATCCACCACAGCTTAGTGATGACACTTGTGTTGTTTATTAACCTCACTCAGCAGTTCTTATAGATGCTAAATAGGAGTAGAATGAGCATCAAGCTTTGAGGAACCCTATAGAACTGGTGATATGGGCTTAATCTCTTTCCCCACTGTCAGTGCTGACTAGAACTGACCCCAGAGGAAGGAGGAAAACCAGCATAAGTTTGTGCCTCGAATTCCTGACCCCAAAGTCAAAGCAAAAGGATATCATGATGGATAGTACTGAAAGGTGCTGAGCAATCAAAAAGAGTTGGATATACCATCCCACTCCAACCAGAGATCATCCACAAGTATAATCAGTACTGTTTTGGTTCCATGCCTAGACATGAAATACAACTAAAACAACTCCAGATAGTTTACTTACTTCAGGGTTCTGTGAAGCTGCAGCATGACTTCCTTCTCCACAACCTTCACTAAAAATTGCCCCCAAGTGGACATCTAGCAATGGTGTCTTAAGGAGCAGACCACTACTTTCTTCAGTGGATCCATCCCTTCTCTCAAAGATGCATTCACCACCACTATAGGTTGAAACTCTTGAAACAGGGCTGCCAGACCACACTTTGTAGATGTAATAAGGGCAGAAAAGTACATGCACTTTAAAGAAATCATTTCTTACCTGGAAGTCTCTATCATGTAGCCTCTCTTCCCTTGTGGCTCCCAAGGCTTTCCCTAGTTTACTATGAAGCAGAGGGAGTTGAAATGAGCTATGAGATATCTAGAGAGCTTCTGGAGATCACCAGTGGAACAGCTTGCCTTCAGACATTGTGGGCGCTCCATCACTGGAGGTTTTTAAGAAGAAAGTGGACAGCCACTTGTCTGAGATGGTATTGGTTCTCCTGCTTGAGCAGGGGGCTGGACATCCAAGGTCCCTTCCAGCTCTATTCTATTCTATTCTATTCTATTCTATTCTATTCTATTCTATTCTATTCTAGACCTGCTATTAGGGTTTACCTTGTATCAGTAAAGGTGCAGAACTGAAGACAGAACTTCATAGAATTGAAGACAGCTCCATAAAAAGCTGTCTTGGAGTTGATGGAATGAAGAGTTGACAAGTAGACTGGCTCTTCAATAATTTCTTTCCTGACAAGAACAGATACTGAAATCACCAACAAGTGATCCAGACAGTTGTTCTTCAGTAGGAAACTGCAAAACCTGCAGATCACAAGGATTTTAGAATTTTGGGACACAAAGAAACAGCTATCTTGCTCAAACTGCTATTGCTATCTGAAAGGACACAACATTTGCTTGCTGCTTTTCTAATCACTTTCAGAAACTGTTTATCTGGTTTTCAGCTAGTAGCAATCTTTAGATCAACAGGTTTTACAACACTGGGTGAATTTCCTACAATCCTTAGTGAAAGTAGTTTTAACTACAAGTTTAAGAACTGATTTTTTTTATAAACAACAAAAGGGTGATTATAGCTTAAATTTTAGAAAATTAGAAATAGACTAACAGTCCAGCTAAATCTGAAATAAAAATTTTGGAATTAATTATAAAAAAATCATTTCAATGGGAAAATGTTTTTGTTTTGATTTTTTAAAAAATAAATAGTAAGATAAGATTTTAAAAATTGGACATTGGAGAGAACTAAAAGGAACTGAAGATTACACTTTAAGGAGAAGAACACTCTAACTTGACTTATAATTATACAATGCAGCAAAATATTTTAATACTGGGTACATTGAAGGATATTTTTGAACAATGATCTCAGAAGTTAATTTTAATAGTGTCTACCTCAATAGATAGACTGGATCTAAAGCATGTCATGGAATAAGAAAAAATTCTATTTCACAGGATTGAGATTTGAGTTGAAAGTGAATTTAAAAATGACAGACTATAAGAATGGCATGGAAAAAAAGATGTTATACTGAATCTATAAAAGAAATCAGTTGATCTCTTAACAATTAAATAATAGATTAAGAGGATGAGTTGGATGGTTTTCCCACATTGACTTTACAAAAGAGTTTCGTTAAAGTTTGAAGTATTTTGTGAGGACAAAAAAATGAAAAGAAATCAAGTTCTAGGATATTGTTTGAAGAGACTAAAGAAGTAAATGGAAGGAATATAAAGTCAGTTTATTTAATCAAGCTTAAAGTAGATATATTGTTTGCTAACTTTTATTAGACTTTTGCCAACATCAGGATTTGTTTATAGATAAGAAATGAGATATGGAAAGAAGAGATCATTTGTGGTATTTTAAGATAAGGTAACAAAGATAGAAAGTCACTTCCTTTTTTATTTGTCTTGTCTTAATTTTATTGTAATTATAATTCTTAATAAAATTCATATTAAAAAAAGGAAGAGAGGCTACACAGGTACAATCTGATCAAAAGCCCAGCCAGCCTTTTATTCCAAGTGACAACCAAGGCTTCAGTCTCACCATGTGCCAAGCCTTCAGAGAAACTCCAAGTTTCCACTGAAACCCAACCAGGTCCATCAGAATGACTATAGCATGTACCATACTGGTACAATGTGGGTTGCCATATATTTTTCAGAGTAATTAGCTCAAAAGTCACCTGACCAACTTCAAGTCAGACTAGACGGATTACAGCTGGCTCTTCCCACCTCTGTCGCAGCATCTTAACCATTACATACACTGGCACTCTCAGTTGTATGAGCGTATGTATGCATGGGTCTATGCGTGTATGTGTCTGTCTGTCTCTCTGTCTATCTCTCTGTCTCTCCTGCAGAGATACTTCAGATCAGATTAAATATAGATTATGCCCAGTTAACAAAACAGTTAATGGTCAATTTCTCCCTTTTAAAATAGCTTGCTTAAATTGACAGAAGCAATTATTACTCTGGAAATGGAGCAAAAGCCAAGAAAGGTCTTTTGGATAAATTATGATAGCATTATGCATGGGAGTAAGACAGTGGTGGGAGTCAAATATGTGAACAACCGGTTCTCTGTGTGGATGCCGCTTCCGGAAGTCCATTCTAGGCCTGGGCAATAAAAAATTAGCTACCAGTTCTGCCAAACTGGTGCAAACTGGCTGAATCCCACCACTGGAGTAAGATAACAGAATGGAGAAGAGAGAAGAGAAGAGAAGAGAAGAGAGCTCATGTGGGGAGAGTACATCACAGAATGAAGTCAGAAAATGGCAGGACCGAAACTCTCTCCCCAGAGCGTTGATGGGATATACTGTGTAAAGAATTGCCACTTAGACAGAAGCAAGATGAGAAAGAGTTTATCTCTGTGTGTATATGTGCATGTGCATGCAGGTGAAAGTTGCATTGGGATTGGGAGATAGTCCAGAAAGAACTAAGGCACTCCTTACTTTTCCTTGCTTGCCTTAGCACCCAGTGTCCCACCCAAATGAGAGTCAGTTGAAAAGTATCCACTGTTATGAAACTAAAGAGAAATGTTTTACTGGTGGATCAAATTGACTGAGAAAAGTGAATTTATTCACCAGTTGTGCTTCGACCCTTTCTGTGGGAACCGGCTTAGGAGTGGTCCTGAACTGGCTGATCACATCAGCAAGGCAAGGAAGGAAGATTATAAGCAACTCCCTCAGACATAATAAGAGGATGTTAATGTTTTGGAATCCTGGGGGGAGAAGAACCCCTTATCCTTGCTTGTATTGCATGCCTAGATTCCTGGGGTAGGTGATGTTTGAGGGAGGCTGTTTTCAAAACCTGAATATTGGGGTGTTGCTAGGTGGAACAAAGCAAGTAACACATAGCATCCCCTTGAGTTTGGGTCATATTAGCAAAATGATTCCTGTTTCAGCAAGTTGCCCTATCGGCCATAGTTTGCACATCTCTTTTTGTGAATGCTACTAAAGTTGGGAAGGGGGGGCATAAATATCCACATATTTATGTTTTGTTTATATGCCAGATGTGGGTGTGAAGGTTCAAGAGGTGCTTTGAAAAAAAATCAAGAGTATTGTGCTGAAAACCAGTATGGTAATCCCTCTTGCTTCTTCTGTCACCGTTCTGTGACCCTTCCTCAAAGCAAAGCATTGTTCTAATGCTATTAATATAATATCTGCATCTGCAGCACAGAGAGTCTCTGCACTCAGTGTCTCACCCAAATGCCTGACTGTGAAGAAAGTCCACTCAGGTGGCCAGCAGATGTGCAGGGAATCCATTAGTTCAGTCTGGTTCTTAGGATAAGCACCAGAGTGAACTGATTCCGTGTATGGCTTTCGAAAATGCCCATACACCCTGATGATTTGTACTGAGGCCAGGACAAAGCAACAGGGAAAGTGGACAGCACAAAGGTCACTTCCAAAGAACAGGGTGGATAGGAATGTCAGTAAGTACTTCCCGCAATTCACCATTGCTTCCCTTAATCTTCCAGTTATGACAAAGACACTGTTCTCTTTTTTGAGGGAGCACAACCCAGGCACATGAGTTGTCCACCCTTACTCTCCAGGATGTTATGAATAGAGACTTACTACCCACAAATTCTTCGTTTCTGTCAATTGCCAAGACCTAAATGGCCACATCACACAACTGAAGGCTGCAGACGACTGTCCTCCACTCTTATGCAAAAGAGCCCCTGCAGGGAAGTTTTGAAAGAGAGAAGAAGGGAGAAACAGAAAGGCAATTTTTTTAAAAAAAAAAATATGAAAACACGGACAACAGTGCCAATGTTTATTGTGACATTGCAGGAGCTTATTGCGGTCACTATGTGAGGAGTATTTCAGATACTATCACACTATGAATCAAAAACTCTTTTGGAAGCACTCAGAGAAAAGTGAAAACATTGTCAGGACTGGATGAGAAGGGGAAGTACAATGCATAAGAAAGGGCTCTGGGACGTATCACATTGCCTCTCTGCCCTTTCTGTGTCCTTCTAGAGGAAGATCCCCAGCTTGCATAATCATAAATCAGCACCCTCTCCCAATCTTTATGATTTCTTTTTTCCTGACACTACTCTTTTTCTGACCTTCTTGCTTATCTCTCAAGCCGCAAACATGAGGGCCTGAGGACAGGAAATCCTGTTCAAGCAATGACAGCCTAAGGCAGCCCTGCTTTAACAGCACCTTCATCGCCTTAAGTGCCCTTATGCAATTGAGTTTAGGTGTATTTTTTAAAATTTGCATCTACAGCTAAGTGATGGTGGACCAGATAATGAAGGAGAGGGTGTTATCCAGCATCTGGAAGCAAGGAAATGCAGGTTAAACTGATTTGGTCTCCTTAATCACTTGGATCAGCAAGGCTTAGGTCTTTTTTTAGGGAAATGTCTACAAGCAGAAAGGGTGGGTTTTCTAGGGGATTTTCATTAGTACATCTGCTATTTATCACTCGATTACTCTTTACGGTATGGTAGTATCTGTCCAAGATCTGTACAGAATCCAGTATTCTTAGAACCAGTTCATAGAAGGGCACAATGAAATCATGTGTGTCTATAAGTTATTATTAAGGACAGGTTCAAGTGTGACTTTTATCCATACAATTGCCAGGAATTAGACCCAATTTAATAGCACCTAATTTTCATTAAGAGTGGGCTTGAAAAATATGAAGGCTTCATATCAACCTCTCTCCACCCATCCATTCAGAGTATCTTTAAACTCAGCAGAAACAACTAACTTAGGATGTAATTACTTATCACACTATTTTTTTAACAAACTAATGTTTTTTTAAATAAATAAAGAAATTGGTCATGAGAAGGCATCCAGAAATCACATGGACTCTGCACTCTAAAGTGTTTAATCCAAAAACAGCTGTGGAGTGTGATTCCACTGCATGTGTAAAGTAGTTCTTGCCATTAGCTTTACAAAAATAAAAAACAACGTGGATGAGTGAGGCCAGTGATTGAAAATTAATTATGAGCAATAATGGAAGAATGGTGAAGATCAGCCTGGAATAGTTCCAAAAGGGCTGTTTAAAAAAAAACCCAAAAAACTAGAACATATTGTGGAAAGTTGTGTTTTATTTTTATTTGTTATTATGCTTTATGTTTTGCTGTTGGTAGTTCTGTTTGGGGAATTATTCAGCGATTCAGCTCTTAGAGGAGCAGGTATAAAAATGTAGTTCATTAACTGATATCCCAGCATGAGTTATGATGGCCCAGCACTCACTTATTTAGGACAGTATGTGGGCTTCTATGCACTGGATATAATCCAATATTTGAATAGATATTCACTCATGCAGCAAGACTTTCCCTTGTGCCCCTTCCTCTGCAACCCCAGCTGCTTTCAAAATCTGCTCTGGAAAATGAAGACTCAATGGTTTAGGTCTGGAAAATGTTCCTCCCTCCTCCAAAATGCATTGTTGACTTTTACCTAATATCAAATCAGAGTTAAGGATATCCTAATACAAGTACTATTTTCCCCCATCCCTTAGTCAAGTTAGGAATTTCTGATATGGTCTGAGAGAAATGAACAGTAAAAGGGGTGGGATGAGGAAACCGCTCACCGTTTCAAGTATTGTGACAGAGCTAGGCATGTTTGACTTATCAGATTCCTCTTGTTTCAGATACCCAACTGGCAGAGTGCCGGGAGCCTCCCGAAATGGAGGGTGCTTCTTTGCTTTCGCTGACAGAGGAGAGCTTCAAGGCTTGCCACTTGACCTTGAGCCTGGATGATTATCTCTTCATTGCCTTTGTGGGCTTTGTGGTTTCCATTGCTTCTGTTGCTACCAACTTCCTGCTGGGCATCACTGCCAATTGCTGCCACCGCTGGAGCAAGGCAAGTGAGGATGAGGAGATATAGTCAGCTGGCTTGATCCTTCCAGCTCCCGCATCGCTCACAGCCAAGGAAGGGAGAGGGGGCAAGGACTGTCATGCTCAGGGAAGGCGAGGAAGCTTGTCTTTCCCCCACTAGGCTGTTTTCCTGAGCCTTCCTCCTCACCTGCAGGTAGCATCAGACTACCACCCATCCATCTATTTGCTTGTTTGGAGACAGGGCCTGTAGGGATAGGGAGACTGAAGTGTGCCTTGTACAATTCTGTTTGTGCTGGAAACAGCCAGACAAGTCCTGAAAAATGACAAAAACACATGCTCAGACCACCTTTCATCCTTTGCTTTCTCTTCTTTGCTCCCGCTTAACATATACTTACATCTTTTTTTTCCCCTCTGCGCTTGTTGCATATTCTTTAAATTCATAAGTGGAGCATAGACTCACTCAAAGATCCACTTGCAATGCATATCCATCTGACTACTGACCGATGAGAAAAAAAACCCAAGACTTCCCTTTTGGGAAGCCTGAAGAATTCTGCCCTCTAGATCATTCCATCTCATAACTACATCAAGGAAGGTTGTTTGAAGAAGGTTCATTTTCAAGCACGAAAGAAATGTCCTTTGAGCTTCTTCCACAAGTTCCAGTGGCCATCCTTTGGACATATTTATACATTCAGAGTTTGCAGTTTTATCAATAACTCCCCCCCCCCCAAAAAAAAACCACAAATATTTGGAGACAAAAAAAAAGAAGGGCAGATAGTCTACTTTTCATCCCACTTGCTAATTATTTTAGTATAGATGGTGCTACAATTTACACAAATGTCTGTTGGTTTATGACCAGCCTCATGCTAACCAAACAGATTTTAGCTGGAATGGCCTGCAAAGAGGGTTACTGACCTGAACTTCAAATATGGCAGATATGCAAGAGAATTACTATACTACATTACAGGAGTGTAAAACCTTAAATAATTAAAATAAGTACCATTATAGAATAAGGCTTTAATGTATTGCTCATAAAAAATAGAAGTAGTGTATGGCAGCCAGGTGAGTTCCCAAAGCATTATAGAGTTTTGATAGATATGAACATTGAAGTGAACATTGAAGGAGGATCGTGTTTTGGATTGGGTGGAACTAGACTAGCCTGAAAAGTGGGAAAGGGGGTGGGGAATAAAAAATGCAGTTACTTGTTGGAAATAATGTTTGTGGAGGATTAAAAACTATAAGATGTTTCTCCCATAGACATTGTAGAGAATCACCCTATCTAGCAAATTTTTTTTTCAACATACGGGCTGCTTTGTTTGTTTTTCAATATTTTTCAAACCATATCTACACCTCAAAGTTAGTTTTTATATCCACTTAGCTGGTTTTCTCTAAAGAATGAGGGTTCTAAATATTCTCCTTTAGAGAATCTTAGTAATGAAGAATTGATTCAAATTTGAATGCCTAATGTAGCAAATTTATATCGTAGCAAGGGGGAGAAAGATTGTTTAGATCGTCTTACTGAGATCACTAGCACTAGATGGTGCTAAAAGTCAGAATTGCAAGGGACATGTGGGAGATTTGAAAGAAGCCACATTTAGTATTACAAAGATTATTTCTCCTGATCTCATTGAACTGACTGAAAAATAACTTGCACTTAAGAGATGAGGGTGATGTTGACATCTGTCTCATTGCTACATTCCTTTGCTATTCCAACACTTCAGCATCTTTCAATATCCATCATAAAAACACTGTCTTTATTTTCATGACATAACAAAGCTATAAATACAGGAAGAAATTATTAGAGAAGCGTCCATAATAGAACAATTAGAACAAATGGAGAAAATTAATTTTCTTAAGCAACAGAGGAAGCCAAAATCAGGGAAGGGAATAGAACCAAATGCTTTATTATTTCAGCTACTATTTACACATTTTACAAACACAGTTTCTAGAAATAAAAATCAGATGAGCACTACCAAGAACATTGATTGGCAACATAATTTCTGCATCTAGATCTACAGTGCAATGCTGGACATGAAGATTCAAATGCCAAGTGGGCATATTAGACTATAACTATAGTTAACATAAACTATAGTTAATATTCCTGCCACAGGAAGCACCTTATAAAGCCTGTAACTATCTCGTAGAAATTTATGTCTTCTGATTATAGTTAATATATTTCAACTTTTTAATTTTTTGCATCGATATAGGACCAAACAAGATACTGAATGCTGCTATTGGGGGAGAGTGGCTTGGCGGAGAGAAGGGATATTAAAATCCCATTGTTCTCAATTACTTCTACTAAAGTCAAGAAGGTGGCATGTGAAGTTGTCATTCAAAGGCAAAATCATTTTAAAATGTATCCTTATCAGTGTTCTTTTCCTTCTTCTTTTATGTACTTGAGGTTTTTTATCCTGATCGTTTCATGAGGAGATTTACCAGGTGAGACCCATGAAGATCTGAGATCTCACATAAAAAGCCAGCTCTGCCGTTAGTCGAAATGAAGCAGCTTGCATCTGGCAGAAAATAAAATGGTTAATTATTTAGATTTGTTGCTGTTGCTATTGCTGTTAAGGAACCATTACAGTTTTCATCCCCAGATGCCAAATTGTCTCTGACACGATCATCCATTCAGGAAACGTACAAACAAAGATGTTCAAAAATCACATCTTGACACTGATCTCACCGCGAGTAACTTGGGGAAACAATATAACACTGTGATGGAAGGATTGGACAGAAGACAGACTAATTGTTAAACAGCTCTAAATGTTTGTTTTTATGAGGCTTTTGGAAATACCTGGAAACCAGTTTGTACAGGGCTAAAATTATATACTGTAGATGTTCATTTGTAAGGTACAATTATATCATGTGAATTGTTCTCAAATTCTGTGTAACTTGCCTGTGTTGACTTATCATGAATCGCACAAAGAAATGTTCAGGTTATATTTAAGGATCCCAGTTGCAGAGCAATCTGTACTGGTGTTAACTTTTCTATTCTAATTAACAAGCAAATAGAGATGGAAGAAAAAAAAATCATTATTGAACTTCTAATAACAGTTTCCTATTCTCAGTATTGAACACAGTACATATCTACTGGCCAATGAGAAATACATTATTTTATGTCTTGCAGTTTTACACAACTGTGGTCAAAAGAGTAGATTCCACCACTCCTTGAGCTTGCTTGATTTCTGTCCAAGCTAATCTAAAATTGTTCATATAGAAAGCATCAAGGTGCCTTTCAGTTTGTAATTTCATCTTCATAGAAGTTAGTGGGGGGGATGATCTAAACAAGTATTTTTAGAAGTCCAGCTGGTGATGAGAAAGTCATATGATTCTTTGTGGTATGTTAACCTGCAATTCTCCACATCTGTAGCTGGCAAAACAGGTAAAAGTGAACTGAATAAGGTAAAATGAAAACTGGCTTCTGAATTCTCATGCAGAACTTACATTGAATATGAAAGTTAACACACACTGAACTCTGCAGATATTTTCTCAAATTCCAATTGTGTCTTGTGGGATAATTCTACAGTCAGCCTGGACATTCTCATAGAGGCAGACCTTAACTCTAAGAATACATACTTGCTCTGCTTTTTAAGGAATTCTTGGAGCAGAAGTCCATGCCTCTGAAGAGCACCCAGTTTGTAGAAGCTTAGCATAGATTATGGGCTGTTTCAGTTGGAATAGCCATAGCTCTGAAAATCTTTTAGAAAGAACATAAGTTAATAACCAAATCCCAGTGATTGGGATCTGTTTCTCACACACCTGTCTCTTAAAGGCAGCCATATTCTCTCACATTACCATTATGGTTCTGAAAAGAGGATTAAAAAGTGATTTTTACAGAAAATCATGAAGAAAATAAATTATGCTATTCCTTCCCACACCGTTCTTTTTTCATCACACATTACCTGTATTTTCAAGAGTTGGTAGACAACAATATCTTTTTCCAATGTCCATTTAGCAACATTTGAACATGAATCTTGTAGATGAATATCACATAAAAAGTTCACCTTGTGTGCCCTTGGCAAACTAAGAGGTGAAAATTCTTTTTCAAGTAAGTCCATGTTATTTATGAAGTTATGGAGCCTACATACAGTGCATGTTTATCAAGCACAAGAGTATATTGTTGAATCTGAATAATTTGAGTGTAAACTGTAGTCAAGGTCCCCCAACCAGAATGTCGACTCTGCCCTGAGAACCACTTTCAGCTTCTCATGACTACTGATAATAGATGATCAGATACTAGTGGTTCTCTTAGCCTGTATGAAAGAACATGGCATTTCTCTCAACTTAGCCTTGATTTCAACTTCATTAGATCCTTTGGCTATGCATTTTTTTTTCTGCCACCTGCCTATGACCTTACCTTCATATTGTCCCCAATTTAACTGCATCAGTGTTAAACTTGTATTTCCCCCCCCCCCTGCTTCTTTTGCTGCTAACCAAAGGCAGTCTCAAATTATGCAAAACCTATTAAGCTTTGTCATCTTTACCTTGGAGGAAAGTCAAGTGGCTGAATTATTTTGAAACAGGCAATGGAAGATAGGATAGGCAGAAGCAATGGGAATGTCACATTGCATGCTAATATCATTTTCTGCCAACTCACTTTCAACTCTTAAATGGAAGATGTCCTTAAGAGCACCATTTAATACAACCAAGTAAATTACAAGGTATGACTGTATTCTGAGTCACAAAGGAAGCCTTGCTCCAGTTAATGGAAAGTTTTTGGGTGCTCTTCAGTTTCTTTTTGCATAGCTACATAAGCTTTATTTAGAAAATTGTTGGTAATTCTTTAGAAAATTCAGCTAATCTACATTTTCAGAGCAAATATCTTTGTGTCTCATTAACACAGAGATTCCCTTTTTTCCAATTCCAATTTTACATTATGCTTTTGGAGAAAGATCCCATTATGTCACCAAGCGATATATATATTATTTGTGGTATCTAATTTACTCTATCCAACATACAGAGCCAATGTAAGGCATTTTGCTTTCAAAGAATGATATAGTTCTTTTCCACCCATTAAACAGAAGCCAAATGGACTGGCAATTAGTTCTTCTGTCACAGCTGAGGGATTATAGGACAGGCTGGGTGCCATACACAGAGGAAGGAATGGCCAAGTATTTCAGGAGGAATGATTGGGAACTTGCCACATCCTCCCAGCACACAACACTTGTGGCAGTTGCCCACTTCTTTCAGTGCTACCAGCCCTAACACTTCAGTCAGGTAAAGCTACATCTGGCCATAGATGTATAGATTTATGAACCAAAAGCATGTGTTTTAAAAATAGTAAGGAGATGTGGACTGTTTGTTTGTTGGAGGCAAATGGAATAAATAGTCATAGTGCCTTTTGTAGCATTTAAATAATATTATAAAGCTAAATTAAAATGTGCATAGGCCTTTTTTTTAAAGATTAAGAGTAAAATGTTGCTATGAAACTCAACTTTAAGGATTAGTCATCAATAATCTTAAATGCATGACCAAATCAGAAACTTCCAGAGACCAGTGAGGTCCCATAGATTGGGCCTCCTTCAGGTCCCGTCGGCCAGACAATGTCGGCTGGCGGGCCCTCGGGGAAGGGCCTTTTCTGTGGTGGCTCCGACCTGGTGGAATCAACTTCCCCCCGAGGTTCGAACTACTCCCACCCTGCCAACCTTTAAGAAAGCCGTTAAAACTCTCCTGTTCCGGCAGGCCTGGGGCTGATGTCCCCGGGGGGGGCGGGATATGATCGGACTCGCGGTATGACTGTATTATTTTATTGTTTTATGATTGTTTTAATCTCTGTACGCCGCCCTGAGTCCTTTGGGATTGGGCAGCATATAAATAAAATTAAATACAAAATACAAATACAAATTACATTTTGGATGTAGAATTTAGGATTGTCTGACATTTTGCACTTGCATAACATTATTGGGCATGGGGAAATATTAAATATACGGGCAAAATATTTTCTGAGATATTTATTTCTCTCTCAATTTCTTTTTTTCACACAATCTACCTGATCAGGAAGGAAAACGGGTGGTCATCTTTGCTTTGTCAGGATGCTGTTTTTGAGGCCAAGAGCCACAGGCAGCCCTTGAGCCACTATTTGCCAATCTGTTATTTCATGACACATTTTATGACTATGGCAGAAAAAGCGTAGAAGTTCAAAGAAGATTTGTGATTTTTCAAAACAAGGTGCTTAATGGAAAGATTTTTAATTTAATAAAAAATGTTTGTCTAAAAAGTCAAGTGGAATATTATATGGCAGTGATGGTGAACCTTTTAGAGACCAAGTGCCCAAACTGCAACCCAAAACTCACTTATTTATCACCGGGTGCCAGGTGGGTGTGGCCCACTGGGTGGGTGTGACTGTGGTGGTCATGGCAGATTGGGTGGGTGTGGCCAAGGTGGGCATGATCACCTCGATGTTGCTTTGGGGAGAGATGTCTGTGGGGGCCGGGCAGGGTTGGGAGAGATCCAGGGGATCTCTGGCAGGTGGGGCGGTGGGCAGGAGACTTGTCCTGCGGGGTGAGGTGAGGCAAGGCAGGGCAGGGGTGCCATTGTCACTGGGAAAGGTGACGCAGGGGCTGGGGTGGCTGCTGCCTGACACCATTGGCCCCTGCACACAGAGGCCAGTGAGCGCATGGGTGCTGGGATGCATCCGGCCATGTGGGACCTTGGTGAGTTAGCGGGCGGCTGGTTGAAGAGGGACAGTTGCCCTCTCCGGGCATGGCGCGCGTGCCCACAGAGAGGGCTCCGAGTGCCGCCTCTAGCACACGTGCCATAGGTTCGCCACCACTGTTATATGGTATCACCAAACTCCCTTGTATTAAAATGTGAGTCAAGCCAAATTCATATAAAATAAGCATGGATATATCATACAGCCTGCTTTAATTCATGGAAATATAACCACCTTGCCATCAACACAAGCAAGCCACAATACATAGATACACATATAGACACACACAGTACATACTTTCCTCAGAAATCCTCAGAAACCTCAGAAATCTTATCCAGCTAGTATTAGAGAGGGGTACACTGGTTTTAGAAATAAATCCAGGTAAGAAAAAAAATGAGACAATGAATTCTGGTTGGATACTGGTTCATCAACTATTTCTCCCATCTATCTGTCTAAGAGTTTCTAACTACTTTACCAGTCAAAAGTATTAATAGAGTCCACATTACAGAGTCTATCAGAAATAATTCAGACTTTGACTGATGGAGAGAAAAGGAAAATCTCTTATTTAAAAAAAGCAATAATAAGTTTTCCTATTATTTAAAGAGGAAAAGAGATGATGCATGCAAATTTTTTGCCCAGCAAAGAAAGACTTCAAGTCAAACAACCTGGTAAGAGTAATGGATAACTTTATGTTTGCCTACTTCCAAAAACTTTTTGAAATTTCTAAAAGGTTTTTTTTTTAAATGAATGTTATTGGTCTGTATCTCATACATTCAGCAGAGGCTAGAACCCCCTTCAAGAATAGCAAAACAAGGACTGTGCAAAATTTCCTTAACCAAATTAGTTGGTTTCATTGGGATTCTGCTAGTCTTCCCCAATTGATGCCCTCCATATATCTTGGAATTCAACTGCTTTCATTCTCAAATGACAAGACCATATCAGAGTAGACTGATTTAAATAGATCATCTTAAAACACTTTTAAAGATAAGTATACCAAGTTTGAAGGATTATTTTGAGGGGGAAAACTATTGTTTTAACTTTTGAACCCAAAATTACAATTTGCCTTGGCTAGGCAAATATTTACATATATCACACCCATGTGTTATATGAATATGTGTGAATATACACCACACACCCATATGTACACACACATTGCTAAATATAAAATTATAAAACCTTATTGCCTGGCACTTTTAGTTGCCAGGAATACATATAATATTGCAGCTAAA